ATCCCTGAGTTTGAGGCCAGCCTGGTCTATAGGGTGAGTTCCAGGACAGGCAGGGCTACACAGAGAAATCCCTTCTTCTGACCCAGGCGTGGCCGTATATGCCTGTCCTCCTAGCACTCAGGACACTGAAGCAGGAAGAGCAGGGGTTCCCTGCCAGATCGGGCTCCAGAGAGACACAATTTCAAAGAAATAAAAATCACAACGATCCTTTTTAAAAAAACAAACAAATCAACACTGTCCGGCTGTGGTGCTGTCTGAATCCGTCCTCTTTAGCAGCATACTTAAAGACCCTGAGATGTTTCATCAGAGAAATTGGCTAAGTTCCACTTTAACTTCATCTTTCATTTTCTTCTGAGTATCCTCCATCTCTACCCAGCACGCATCAACAGGGCACTGCCTTGGGAAACCTACTTCAGAAGAGTTTTTTCCTTACCAATCAGGGATGGGGGGGGGGGGCTCACTGTTCCCAGCTGAGAGTTCCAGAAACACGCCGCAGGCACTTGTGAAGTCTCACAAAAGGCTTCTCAGTAGGGCAGACATGAACCTCCTCTTGGGACATTCAGCAGCATTCCATTTACACGCAGCCCAGCATACAAATCCTGCATGCAGAATTGGGCATCTGGCAGGCTCCAAAGGCCTGGGTATCAACCAGCTAAGGGAGTACTGGCAAGAGGGGGAAGAGGAGAAAAGGCTCCAAATTAGACACACTAGAACTTGAGCCCTACTTTTGGCGATCTGAGCTGCAAGGAGCCCTGTGAGGTTTAAACAAGAATGAAAGAAGGGGGTCTGGGCTTGTTCCAGACACAACGGGACCTGCATGATGGCCACTTTGGCCAGCGCTATCACATTAGCCATGCCACTCCTGGGTCTGTAACCTCTGATAGCTCCTACGGCCCACACCGGAGCTCAAACTTCCCAAACAGCCAAACAAGGGCCTCTACCATAAAGTTTTAAGACCAAGTCTCACTCTATGGCTAGCCTGGAACTCACTATGTAGACCAGGCTGGGCTCAAACTCACAGAGACCCATCTGCCTTTGTCTCCTGAGTACTGGGCTTAAAGATGTGCACCACCATGCCTGGCTACCATAGTGAATTGGTGTGTGGCACAACGCCAGTCATACAAGACCCCCCATCTTGCCCTGATCTCTGTAACTGCTCTCGCCAGTTCACCTCTCCCCCCACCAACACACACCTTGGAAACTCAGGTAAACAAGTTTCCTAGATACCAAGGCAGATATCTAGGCAAATACCAATCCACCAAATCCTCACACCAACAAGATTGCTGTTATTATTACTTCATTTTACAGGTGAGACATCAAGATCCAAGGAGGTTAAGTGACTTCCACTTCCCCCAGATTGTACAGTCTGAAGAGGCTGGGCTGAGATGGACATCCCAGCTGGATAGATGCGGTCCCTGTTCCTACTCCTCTATCCTAGAGCTTCTGGGTTCTATGCCCTGACCATTCTGATGCTTGTTTTTTTTTTTTTTTTTTTTTTTTTTTGGTTTTTCGAGACAGGGTTCCTCTGTGGCTTTGGAGCCTGCCCTGGAACTAGCTCTGTAGACCAGGCTGGTCTCGAACTCACAGAGATCCACCTGCCTCTGCCTCCTGAGTGCTGGGATTAAAGGCGTGCGCCACCACCGCCCGGCTGATGCTTGTTTTCTCTCGGTGCCATTCAGAAGGCTACAGCCACTTTCCCAACCACGTGACTTCACCAAGGCAAGTCATTCACGGGGACAACCATGCTTGGAAAAAGACGCCATGGTGGTGCTTCTAGAACTTTCTGTACCTGGCTGGCCTAGGGCAAGAGCCTCATCAGCTCCAGCACTAACGATCATCTCCAGGCTCCCTGAGCTCTGAGGACGTCATAAACACTCAATAACGTCTCATGGCTTGAGGGTCTCCTTCCAACTCATTTTCCCAGAAATCTCAGCCAACTTCTGAACCTGCTCTGGAACCTGGAACAAAAGGGGGTTGGCGGGCAGAACTTGAGGAGGAAGATAATCCAAAAATAATTGATCCCAGGTCATGGAAAGCATTTTGTTTACTGCACCAGTGACCTTCCCAATTATTGTCCGCTTAGGCTAACGTTACAGCCTGCCCTCCTCAGTGGACCGGATTGCCATGCATGAGCACACAGTCCTTACGGAGTCCTGTCCAGGCTGTCGAGTGGTAACCTTAGGTACGGAGAGCTGGAAGGCAGGCTCCGAAGGACACTGCAAGATGCATATCTACCCTATGTTCAGGTTTATTCTGTATCTTGTAGAGTCTCACCAGCAGACTATACAAGAGCAGGGTACATCATCAGACCCTGAAACTGACCCTCTCCCTTCCGTGGACCCTTGTAGCGAATCTTCATTCACGTCAAGAGACTAGGATCTGCCCACCTCACATGTGAGAAGACTAAGCTCCAGACACCCTCGTCAAGTTACAGGTACCTGGCTGCTCTTCCTATGTGAAGTAAGGGTTGGCTCGATCTCCCCTAGGTGTTTTGGGAGACTCTCCCTCACTTTATGGAGGAAGAGGTGAATCTGGCATTCTAGGCACCCTGGCTGACCCTAAAGAGCAAAGGTCATGTGAGCTCCTCACTCTTCCAGGTTTGTAGGAAGGAAGCCCTCTGGGGACAGGAAGTTAGTTGTGCTGACTCACAAGCCGAGGGAGAGTAATCCAGGAAACTTGTCACTCTGTTACCATGGCATTGGGGAGGCAGGCAACCCTTCCTCTCTTGAGGTTCACTCAGTGGGCAGTGGGGGCAGGGCACAATTAGAGCTCAGACCATGTCTCCAGGGCTCTCAGAAGTCCAGCTTCACAGCAAGAACTTAGCTACCCTCTCAAATCTGCTGCCCAGCATGGAGGCTGTCCTGGGATTCAAACGCCCCCAGTCTGCAGAGTGTAGGAGAAGCCGGCGTGGAGCCGGTGTGGAATTGAGGAGCCTACTCCACCCTGGCTGAGAAAACCAAATTCCCAGACAGTGTGGAGATGCCCACGCCCACTCAGGTTATGAGCTCCGCTCTCAGTCTTCTGAAATCCTCCGCAGTCTTTAGTGGAGGCCTGGCCCCTTGCAGAGTCAAGAATGAGGACAACAGAGTAGGAGAGTATCACCTAAAGAAGGAAAGTGTCACCTGAAGGAAGAGGACACAGTGGTGGCTCACCTCCACAGACTGTAAGACTTTCTCTTTAGCGTCCACAGAAACCTTTTGGCTTAGTTTTTCATTCCCCAGGCCTGGTGCTACCTGCCTTTGGCTGGACACTGATCACAGCACTATGGTGACAGGTGGTACATGTGCCTAAGCAAGAACTAGCTGCCTGTCTGCTGACCTCAGTCAAGTCCTGTTTACCAGACTAGCTCAGCACTCAGGAGGCAGAGGCAGGTGGATCTCTGAGCCTGCCTACAGAGCGAGTTCCAGGACAGTCAGGAATACAGAGAGAAACTCTGTCTGGAAAAGAAGAAACATTTTATCATTTTGCCTGAACCAAAAACTACAGGGCAACTCCTTTATTTTCTCCAGGACAAAGTCTTAATAAGTAGCCCTGGCTTAAAGTCACTAAGCAGAATAGGCTGGCCTTGAACTTGTGGGCAATCCTCCTGCCTCTTCCTCCTGTAATTATAGGTCTCACCCAACTCTCCCTCTTTTCACCACTAAAGGGCCCTTTAACTTCATTTTTAAAGGCAAGAGAACGACTCCCCCCACCTTGAAGACACAGTTTCTCTGTGTGGTCCTAGCTGGTCTGGAACTCAAAGAGATCTGCCTGCCTCAGCCTTCCCACCACCCAGTGGCATCAGAGGAACTTTTAAATAAGTTTTTATTTACCATTTCAGAAATCAAGGTCGAGGGACAGAAGGGTGCGATTGGCCTGAGAGTGATAAGCAGGTGGCATAGCCGGGAGGGGTATTTCCATCACTCCCTCTCCTGGCCTTTTGGCCAGGCCCAGTGCATTGAGAGCCTCTAAAGCAGTCAGGCTCACTGTTGCCCTGACCCAAGACAGGGAGAGACCCAGACACTTGCAACACTCCCTTCCCAAGAAAACACTAAGGGTGCCAGCCACTCCCTTCCTCAAGGCCAAGGTTTAGCTAATTCTCAGGAAGGGGTGGGGGTGGGAGTGCTGGTGAGGGGAGGGAGATAAACTTCGTGGATGCAGGTTGACATCACCGAAAGATAATAATGAAATTGTTATGTGGGGCCCTGCCCCAGGCAAACTCCAAGTTGTCAGGCCTGAAGGTATTCCCAGAGTGAACTTCTCAAGCTTAACTGCAGCCTCCAGGGCACCTCCAGCTGCCGCATCTTGTACCACCGTCTTCTAAGGACCGACCTTCTAATCAACCTCCTAATCAAGCGAGAGCCGTTCAAGGGGAACATGTCCCACCCTCCTCCCCCACACCCCGTGACTCAGAGACAAGTTTCTGGAGAAGAAACTGAGGATGGGGAGTGGCTGTCAAACCTTAGGCTGAGGCTCTTGGAAAATGCGGGGGAGTGTGGGGGTGTGGGGGGAGTGAGAGCTAAGAGCGTGTGGAGTATGGGGAGCGGAAAGCATTAGGAAATCCCCTCCAGTATTTGATAAAGAAGCCATGGTAATACCTTCTGGCCTTAGGTGTGTGGGAGGGCACCGCACAGGGTAGCTCTTCCTCTCCATCCCTTGACACCTGTCCTCAGTGGGTCAGACCTTTTGCATTCTCCCTGTGCCCCTGAACACATACATGCAGAACAGACTTTTTAAAACTATCAACTTCAGGAAAGGAACATTTTTTGTGCCCCTAACCTCTTTGCCGCAACACGGTACCGGTCTGAAAACACCTGTGCCTGGGTATTTCGGGTCGTCTACTTCTCCCTCACAACTCAGTACCTCTTGGCTTTCCACCGGCGCTTACAACGGCTTATCCCAGCTCTTCCCCCTCACCCCAGGCACGCCCAACCCGCTCCCAACTGTGGGCCCCGTCGGGGCTGCGGGGGGGAGCGGCCGAAGCAGGAAGAGGAGAGGAAGGCAGGGCGGCCCGAGCTCACCATGGCGAAGCCGGAGAGAAGAGCCGAGGTCCGGCTGGACGCTTTGAGTTTGGCGCGGCTTAAGTAGAGCTTGCGCCAGGACAGCGCCTGCATCGAGTGCTCGTTGAGGCTCATCACCTCGGAGTAACTCTGGCCGATCCAGTCCGGGTAGCTGACGGCGGGCGGTGGCGGCAGCGGTGGGGCCCCCGAGGGCTCCCCGTCCCCACTGCGGCGGCGACTCCGGCGGCTGCCGCTGGTGCTGCTACCGCCGCTCAAGGGAAGCTCGGGATTGCTGCTGCTCGGGGGCGGGGCAGGCTCCGGATGCATGGAGTAACTCTGCGAAGGCTCGGCTAGCGGCGGGCGCCTGCGAAGGCTGCGGCCCTGGGCCGCGCCGCACCTCCGCCTGCTCCCACTCGAGTTTGTCGCACGCGGCCGGACGGACCCGATCTAGAGGCCGAGGCCGTTGGCCACAGAAGCGCTCCGCAAGTTCCAAGCGGCAGCAACCTGAGCCTGCGCGCCGACGGGCGTCCGGTCCCAGGACGGCACGTCGGCGCGCTCCACGATTGGCCGGCCCCCCGCGATTATTTGCATACACCACACCCTCTCGGATGCCCCGCCCACAAGGAGGTGGGCGGTGTCCTGCGAGTTACGTGCCCCACGCCGCCTCCTACGGCTCCGCCCACAGCCCCTGGCGAGCCTTCCTGGAAGCGCCCCACGCTGACAGGCCTCGCTTCTCATCTCTGCAGCTGCTCCTGTGGCTTTGCTCCCGGAGCTTCTGAGTTGAGCCATTTGAGGTCACCTCTGAGCGCCTCCTGAGGCCTGTTTCCTCCTTGGAACAAGGTGGCAAAAGGTCTGTTGGAAAAAGACCAAGTGGCGGTCTAGAGTTTGGTCAGTGATTATTGAGTGCCTACTGGGTGCCAACACTGTTCCAGGCACTCAGGGCAGGCGTTAAATTTGTGATTAAGAGGGAGAAAATGTCGATCCCAGAGTGGTCATGTTGTCTGTAATCCCAGCACTGGGGAGGCTGAGGCAGGAGCATCACGAGCTTGAAGGAGCAGTGAGTGCCTGCTTCAGAACACAAGAACAAAATTCCATGCTCCCTGCAGCCAACATTCTACTAGAAGAGACGCACAAACACCAACGTGTAAATTATGGTTCAGAAGGCTGTAAATGTATAGGGAAAAATAAAAACTTTTTTTTAAAAAAGTGGATAGTAACACAGGGATAGTCCCGATTTGTTTTTGTTGTTGTTTGTTTGTTTGTTTTGTTTTGTTGAGAACTACATAGCCCTGCCTGACCTGGGACGTGTCCTATAGACCAGGCTGGATTCAAACTACACAGATCCATCTGCCCAGGGCTCCGGAGTGCTTGCATCAAATTTGTGTACTAGCCAGACGGTGGTGACACGTGCTTTTAATCCCAGCACTCAGGAGGCAGAGGCAGGTGGATCTCTGTGAGTTCAAGACCAACCTGGTCTACAGTGTGAGTTCCAGGGCAGCCAAGGCTACACAGAGAAACCCTGTCTCAAAATAAATAAACGAATAAATAAATAGATAAGTAAATAATAGTACCAAATAGTAGTACCATTCCCGGGTCTCTTCATGGGATTTTCTATTCTGTGGGGGCAGACTATAAACTCATTCACACCTCTGGGTCTCATCTGAACTGAGACTAGGGCCAGCAATGTAAAGAGTCAGGACCTAAGGAGAAAGGAAACTAAGCGCGGAGACCACGAGTCAGGGACTTCGGAATACGGGGGTTGAGGGCGGGGCTCAGGAGAGGTGAAGTACGGACTAAGGAACTCGACAATGTTAAATCCAAAGCCACTGCGTTAACAGTGGTTCCGCTGCTCTAACCCCAGAGTTCAGGATGTTTGTGTCTTGGCACACGCTCCACATTGAAGAAATATTTGTTGACTGAATACATGTGGGAAAAAGAACAAGTGACACATTGAGACCCCAGTCAAGTCCTAAGCATGTGGCACTCCAGGTCTATGGTGTGATAGTTCTTGTAAAACCACTAGAGGGCAGCCCTCCACCCAACCACATGGTACAAAGGAGAATGCGTCCAGCCAAGTTTCTAAGATTCCCCTAGGGGCTTTCTTCCCTGGTTTATAAAGACTCGGAACTCTGAGCCTGCAGTGGTATTTGCCTTTAATCTCAGCAAGACAAAGGCAGGGCAAGTGGATCTCTGTGAGTTCTAGGCCAGCCACTGCTACGTGAAAAAGACCAGCTCAATAACAAAATCAAAACGACAAAATAAGATTGAGGACTTAGAATTTGAAATCTCACCCCGCTGAGTTTGTTTTGCAGGGGGCTGGGCTTGAACTCACAGAGATCCACCTGCTTCTGCCTCCCAAGTGCTGGGATTAAAGGCGTGCACCACCACCGCCCCTCTTATGCTTATCACTCTTGATTACCATCTGCATCTGGACTCAAATATCACTTCCAAAAAGACCTCTTTCTGCCTACACAGCCTCTCACCAGGACGTGTGTGGTCGCCCTGATATCTTTCCTTGCATATTTCCGTTTGTGACAGCTTTCGTGCTGGCTCTTTCTTTTTTTTTTTCTTGTCAGCTTGAGACAAGCTAGAATCATCTGAGAAGAACAGCTCTCAATTGAGAAAATGCACCCTTCAGGTTGGCCCGTTGGCCCGTAGGCAAGTCTGTAGGACATTCTCTTGATTGATAATTGACATGGGATGGCCCAGCTGTCCCTGCTAGGTGGGTATTCCTGGTTTCTAAAGAAGGCAGGCTGAGCGCACCAGGAAGCAGTGTTCCTGTCTGGTCTCTGCTTCAGCTTCTGTCCTGACATAGAGTGACCTGGGAAGCGTAAGTCAAATTTCCTCCTGGAGTTGCTTTGGATCTTGGCCTTTATCACAGCAACACTAAGACAGCATCTGAGATTATCTAGCCGATTTGTGTATTGATCTGACCCCCGCTAAAGCGTGAGCACCCTTAGAGTGTGTGTATAGAAACAGGTTGAATGAAGTAACAAATGCCCTTGGTCTAAAGAAAACTCTGCTGAGAGAGGGGCTGAGGTCTGGAGGGAGGAGTCTGGAAACCACAAAGAGCAATGGGTTCTGGCAGAGGTGGCTGCAGAGGGGCCTTTACAGTGGAGATGTTTCCTGGTTGCCACGTGCTAACTCCCCTCCTCTCCTTATCACGCTAATTTTGAATTTGATTTTGAATCAGCCCATCTGTATAACAGAGAAAACAGCTCAGCGTGTAGTTCTGGGTTCAACCCTGGCACCAAAAAGCAAAGCAAAGAAAGAATCCAGCCGCTGACCCTGCAGGATAGAAGGGCCCATAGTAACCTTTGTCTCCCTTCCAGGATTAAGTGGGACCATGAGTGGCCACAAAGGCCACAAAGCCGTCAGGACCCATACTTCAAAAGATAAAGAACTTCAGGAACCAGCGAGAAAGCACCGTGCTAAAAGACATAAAAGTCGCCAACAGAGAACAGAGAGGATTGGAACCCAGAATCCTGATTCATCAGTTTCTCCAAGCCAGCCAGCTACTCCCTCAAGTGACTGGCCCAAGGTACACTTTCACCCTCTGGTGCCGGTATCTCAAAAAAAGCGCTAAATACAACTTTTCTTTTCCAATCAATTTTGTGCCTGACAGTGTAGAGACCTCCTGCAAGGAAAATGGCTCAATTTACTGGGACTAATGGCCATAGCCTGGGGCTGATCAAAGACTGCTGGGTGAGTAGCCTAGGTGGTAGCAACATGCTCATACCGCGGGAAAAACATTAACACCAGCACTCGGGAGGCAGAGGCAGGTGGATCTCTGAGTTCGAGGCCAGCCTGGTCTACACAGCTAGTTCCAGGACAGCCAGGGCCACACAGAGGAACCCTGAGTTGGCTCGGTGGTTAAGAGCGCTAGTAGGAGTATTGCAGTTGGTTCCCCAGAACCCACACGGTGACTCTCAACTGGCATCAGGGGATCCAACACCCTCTTCTCACTACCACAGGCGTTCCTTGTACGTGGTGCACATCCTTGCAGGCAAAACACTCCATACACATTAAAAATATATAAAGTCTTTAAAAAGAAGCCATTCTAGCTAAGCATTCAAATGTTTTGAGTCTATTACATGCTTAAATTTGGTTGTGCTTCTCTCTGCTCAGTTACAATGTGACCTTGGGCAAATTCCTCTGGGAGCTTTGGTTTAAGCAAAACTGAGATGTTAGCTCAGCTTGGTGGTTTATAACTCTGATCCTGGACCTTCACAGGCTGAGGCAGGTGTACCCTTGGTTACAGAATGAGTTCTAGGCCACCCTGGGCTACAAAGTCCTAAAAATACACAGTTAGGCTGGAAAGATAGGTCAGTGGTTAAAGGCACCCATTGTCCTTGCAGAGGACCTGGGTTCAATTCCCAGCATCCACATGATGCCTCACAATCATTTAATTCCAGTTCCAGGGCATCAGACACGTTTTTCTGACCTCCTTGGGCACTGGGCACACCTCTGATGCAAATACATACACACAAAAACACCCACACGTGAAATTAAAACACCCAGCATCTGCACATAGACATGATGAGACACAGGGAAAGACTGCTATCATCTGATGGAGTACATGCAGGACACCAAAGGCAGGGACAAAAAGGCCAAAACAGATCTTCCTCTAAAGCCTTGAGAAGGGTGTCCCTCCTGACACACTGGGGAGACTGGGTGACATCAGAGTTATATGGCTGTAGTTCTTGGCTGCCCTCTGACCTCCAGAACTGAGACAATAAATCCGTTAACTGGGTGTGGTGGGGCACCCCTGTAATCCCAGCACTTGAGAGGTTGTGGTAGGAGATAAGAGTCTGAGACCAGCCTGGGCTATATAATTAGACCCTGTCTCGAGACAATAATAAATGAACAGATCTCTGAGCTCGTAGATTGTAGTGTTTTCTTAATGTTAGCCTGAGAGATTAATCTCAGGACCCTGGAGTGGCCTAAGAGGAGACTTCAGCTGACCAGAGAGGTTGCATCCTTATTTATCAGGGGGCTGGCTGCAAGTACATTCAGAAATAAGGAAAATGGCAGACCACTGAGTGAGGTAGGGACACCTGGATTTGGACTCTGGTTTCATCGGTGCATGGCTCTGCTACTCTGGGCAAACATCCCAACCTGTCTAGGCTCCATCTGTCAAGCGGGAATCACGATGACACCAGGCAGCCAGGGTTGTTACGAGTGTTTTGTGACAGGACATTTGTCTGGCAGTCAGCACAATGCTCAATAAATGGTGGCTATTTTCCGTTTCACGGCTGTGCAGGGATCAAAGAATGAAGGCAGCTCCGCGGCACTGAATGGGCTAATCTGTATTTACCAAGGGCAGTTCATCCTGAGACTCCAAACAGGAAAAACAGGTAGCAGAATAAAGGAACAGATATGGTATGCCCTGAAGGAAGGGAAAGGAAGACACAGTTGCCACCCTCCCTCCCTCCAGGTGGTCCCCCATCCGCTCTTTTCCCTGCCTCCCATTGGTCTGGTCTGTGCAGAAAGCCTGCTGATTGAACGGCCAGAAGGATGGCTCCCAGTGATGCAGGACCAAAGCGGGAT